GTTTGTTGCCGTCCTTGCATGGAATTTTGTAATTACATTGGTTCTGTCCATGGTGGGTAAGGGGTCTTTGGTTCAAGTTAGCAGTTGGCGTCGGGTTGATGTGGGTTTGTGTCCTACTCTGATGCCCAATGGACGTAGGGGTCTTGTGGTCAGTTAAGATGTGTTTTTGATGTATGGTAGCGTGATGTGTGTGTCGGGGCGTGCAGTATCTTCCTGCTGTTGTTCGTGTGATTGGCATCATTGGATCCAATTGTTCGGGTATCTGTTGTCCTTAAATACTTGGTGGAAGTACTCTTTTTCTTTTTGGTGTAGTTCCGGGTTGCTACAGTGTGTTGTTGCTCGTTTAAATAGTGTTTTCATGCAACTTTGTTTGTGAGTGTTAGGGTGGTTACTGTTGGAATTGGTCAGTCTGTGTGGCTTTCCTGTATATCTTTGTTAGGAATTCCCCGTTGGCACTGCATTCTACCATGACGTCCTGGAATGGGAGCTGTTCATTCTTTTCCTCTTCCCTGGTGAATTTGCTGCTGGTGAGAGTGTTGTTTCAACATTACATTGGACAGGCAGGAAGAAGATTGGCCGCAAGAGTACATGAACACCAACTAGAAACAAAAAAACATGACCAGTTCTCACTCATCTCCATTCACACGGATAAGGAAAACCCACCAGTTCAATTGGGACAACACCAGGATCCTGGGACAGGCCAATTGGAGACAAGCATGGGAATTTCTAGAGGTCTGGACCTCCACCAAGAAGGCCATCAACAATCACATAGAACTAGACCCTATATATACACCACTGCGAAGGAAAACCGAAAATGAGGTAATCAAATCCAACAGACCCCAGAGTTTAAATACCAGGCGGGAAAACACAATGGCGCTTCATCGGAGGCTGCACTGATGATGTTACCCAGCAGGGTAATGAAACTAACGAACCAGCTCGGCGAGCGAACCAATCACAGCATCCACAACCCGAGCTACAGGTCTACTCAAGAACGTTAAAACATTGTAACTGTACCTGCATCCACCACTTCCTCTGAAAGTTCATTCCACACATGAACCACTCTGCGTAAAAAAAGTTGCCCCCATGTCTTTTTTAAAATCTTTCTCCCCTCACCTTAAAAATATGACCCCTAGTCTTGAAATCCCCTACCCTAGAGAGAAAAGACATCTCCCATTCACCTTATCTATAACTCAAATGATTTTATGAACCTCTACAAGGTCACCCCTCAACCTCCAGTGAATAAAGTCCCAGCCTCTCCGTATAACTCAAACTCTGCATTCCCGGCAACATCCTGGTAAATCTTTTCTGAATCCTCTCCAGCTTGATAATATGGTTCCTACAACAGGGTGACCAGAACTGGACACAGTACTCCAGAAGAGGCCTCACTAATGTCATGTACAACCTCAAAATGATGTCCCAACTTCTTTAAAAGCAAACCGTCCATGGCCTTACTTTGAACCCTAGTGACCTTAACTAAGGGATGCCTTTGAACCTCTACATTTGCTGTCATCTCACCAACCAGTCAATAACCCACCACTATTTGCTTTACCCACACTATTTGCTTTACCTTTTATAAGGTTGAAAATCTCTCTCAGATCGTAACCTTCTCAGTTCTATTGAATTCTATTCTAGTCTTCCAGTCTCTTGTTGAAACTGTAGCCCTTCATCCCTGGTAACATCCCAATGAATGTCAACCATAGCCTCACCATGAGTTAACTTTCCCATCTGTGGTTTCCAAAGCTGTACACAATTCTCTCAGTGCCCACTAACTTCAAGCCGGGTACAACTTGCAGTTTGAGAAAGCACCCTTCAATGTCCTCAAAATGGTTCGGAGTGCTCACATGGTGGATTATTGTAGAAGTGCGGTTCACTCATTCCATCTCATCACAGAGAAACTGTAACTCCTATGGCGTGGTGCACACTCCAACAAAGTCATGGGAAATCTGAAAAGGTGCCAGTCATCCCAATGAGGAAATACGGATGATCAATGGGGAGTTTTCTTCTTTTAATTGCAAAGGGGACAGGTTACTGTCTTAAACCGTTTGGCCCCAGCTGTGACTATTGTTGCCCTGAATAACCTTGTTGCTTTTGGGGAACCTACAGACAAAGGCCCATCAGGTGGAATATTGGGCCACAATAACACACAAACTCCCTTGCCAGGTTCTCTTGACGTGGTGAAGGGTAAAGCACAGATGACCCTGTAATTTCTCTTTGTGAGGCAGATCCCAGTCCATGAGACAGGCCCCTGTGACCTACTGACAATCCAAGTGGGAACAACTGATCTATAATTTCCTGACCTCCACCTAATAAATCAATTATGACATTGGCCCTGGCTAATCACAACGGAAATGTCTGCAAACAGGAATCAAGGGTTACAGGGACAAAAGCAGTAAAGTGGGGTTGAGGATTGTTAGATCTGCCAATGATCTCCCTAAATGGCAGAGCAGCAGACTCAACGGGCTGAATGGTCTATTTCTGCCTCTAGGTCTTATGGTCCAACTCTATCCCATCATGCTCCGCTGCAGTGATATGGCAGGTGCTTAGCCAGAGATGCACCTGTACACCTGAGGAAACGGTCTATGAATCACATGCAAGCAACTGCAGATATATATTTACAAATAGACATGTTAAATCTGCATTTAATTATTCCGCAATCTGGTCCCGGTGGAGAATAACACCAAATGAATACTTAATAGTTCTTTAGAAATGACACTGAACATTATCTACTTACAATCTGACAGTCATTGAAGCCTACAGGATGAAACTGAATCATGTGCTGCACTTATTCTATAATACCATGATAGATATTCATTGCTACTCAATGGAATGTCATTCAAATGCCTTTCCTTCTGGCTGTTTATTGGTTGGCTTTCTCAGTTGGTTTGAACCTGGCTACCCAAACAGAAGAAGCTGGGGTAGTGTGGGTCACCTCCTCAGTTACTTGTCCTGGACCCAGTTTCTCTTCTCATTGCAGCAGTACCTTTGGTTACACTAACTCAATTGTCTCTAGTAGCTGGTCATTTTGTTATTGCCTCTGAAGTTTTCTGCTTCACAGCATTCAAAACCATTTTACCTTCAACTGCCTTGTGCAATGTTGAGTAGTACAGACTGGGGAGATGGTAACTCCATCCTTGGTCAGTCCTGAGTCAGCTGATGATCGTCCAGTCAGCAATGGGCCTGAGTTGAGGAAAGAGAGGCAAAGGTATTCCAGGCCTGACTTACTCTTCTCTCAGCTATAGCAGATATCTGTGAGAGATACTTTTATAAGTTGGTCAACTGGATCTCAATGGGGATGTCTATCTAAGGAATACTCTACATCCCCAAACAATGACAGAAGATCAAATGTGGGACAGCAGTCCAGAGGCTTGGTTCTAAGGGTCAGCCTTTTGGAATCAAAAGACTCCCTTGAATTCCTAAAGCCTCAACAGAGGTTTCCACGACAAGGCCCAGGTCACTGAATCTGCGAAATCAAAAACTGCCGAATGTGTTACGGACTCGTTACAAACTCAGCCTGTTCCTTCTCCAACATGTGTCCGCGGGAGACCACACACAAATCATTTTGAAGGACGAAAGGTCAATCCAATTGCCATTTGATATTTATGGGGGCTGGACTGAAAATCTATGGCCTGGGTTTTACAGAGCATCATGTTCTTTTCCAATGACCTCCACCCCACACTTACCAAACATCTACTGGGAGTCCGCCTATCACAATGCCAGCTGTCCCACAGCTATTTATCATTCGGCGGGCTCTCAATGATTTAGGGTGAGGCATCTGTTCCCCACTCTGAGGATTTGGAAATCCTCTTGCCAGTCGGATTAGTTCGCAGATCTGTAGTGCCAACAGAGCTGTTTTTGAGCAGCAGACTGTAGCGCACCCCTCAAAGGACGATCTGGTCAGAGGTCAGGGCTAAAGACCTTGTCTTAACCCTAACCATCCTCAAATCTCGCGCCTGACACCAACCTGCCCAGTAAAGGTTACCACTTGGCCCATGATGTCTGTGTTTGATCTCCAAACTAGCTGTCCGGTCCCCAAGTTCTCTCACTCTCTTGATCATTCTCTGCACCTTCTCTATAGCTGTAACACTATATTGCGCATTCTGTTCTATTACCCTGATGCACTTCTGTAAGGTATCATTTGTCTGGATAGCACGCAAAACAATACTTTTCACTGTATCACAGTATCTGTGACAATAATAAATCAAATCAAATTATAGCCCTACAAACGTTCCACCTTCCTCTTTATCCAATTCCCACTTGAAATGTAGACATCATCAACGAGAAAGTACTACACAGGGCTGCTCAGAGATGCCTCCAGGACATTGTAACGGAGAAGTGACAGACTTGCAAGACACATATTTCATCTCCCAGCCAGATCAGCTGGATGGGAAAAGGAGATGAGGGTTGGCCAAAGAAAATCTGGTATGTGAGGAGGACTTTCAGGAACGGGACATCTCCTAGGCTGGAGCCAAACAGATTGGGGCTGGCGATGGAGTCTTGCCCTGCACAGGACTAGAGAAAATCTACTACTGAATGTACTTCCTCTCTGCCCCTTCAGGCACTGCCTTCCAGATCACAAAAAGTACAGAGAATTCAACCAAATTCGAGAAAGGGGAGCAAGTCAGCTTGCCCACTCTGATTGAAGATTTCTGCATTGCGTTTGAACAACTCTGACGTGCTGAGGTTTTGAAATCCTGGATGAACTGATGAGAAAATCAAGACGTTTCGTTTCTTCTGTGAAGGCTTTAGTACAGCAGGCTCATGCAAGAATGAATGTCACTCCAGCTTTTCCATTGTTTCAATTCAATTGTCAACCCATTCATTATAACGATTTTACTAAAGTGGGGCAGCGGCAAATTTAATGCGAATCTTGTCAGTCAACGTCAGCACTGTAGCCATGGAGTAATTCTTATCCCTGATATTCTGAATGATTGCGGAAGGCTATATCCTCCAAAGCCAGAAAAAAGATAGAGGAGCTATAAACAGCTTGTTACAATGTTAAATTTCATCTGTTAATTACATTAGAGATTTTACTTTGAGCACTGCACACTGAAAGAAATGCCACCTCACCACTAAGTTTGTATGTACAGTCCTTGGCGAGGGTCAGCCCCTGAGCTGACAGTTACTTAGAACTCAGGTAGCAGAGGAATATAAAGAGTTTCTCTTTCAGTTCACTGCTCCAATGTGTAAGACACTTGGAGTTTCTTCGGAAGCTTGGACAGAAAGAGATTTTGCTCTGTATTCGGAGGAGCTGTTCAATACAGTCACCAGAGCAGCGTTAAGATATTGCGACGGTTTCTGTAAGTCAGTGATGGTTCATTCAGGAGGGCTGCTCTCCACCGTCAGCGTGACATCATCCGGACAAATTCTGCCAAAGGGAACAGGCAACGGTCAGCACAGAAACTGACTACAATCAACACCTCTGAAAGACTGTTAAAGAAAAATCTTACACAACACAAACCTCGGCAAATTCACAAGCCAGGGCTCCTTCTCTCCCCCCCAACAGCCCAGGGTCATGTCTCTCTCTCTCTCCTGACAGTGCCCCACCCACTGACAGCCCAGGATCAGGGCTCCCTCTCTCTTTCCCCACTGATAGCTCAGGGTCAGGGCCTTCTCTCTCTCTCTCTCTCTCTCTCTCTCTGACAGCTTTACTTTATTCTAGCTTTGGATGTGGGCATTCCTGGCAAGGCCGGTCTTTGCTGCCCTTCCCTAATTGCTTGATTGGTTGCTAGACCGTTGTGATGATGCTGTCACTTTAAGAGGTTATTTTGTCCTGGGTGGTTTTTTTGAAGAGAGGTGTAAGGCAGAGGCACCCAGCTGTCTCTAAGAAAGTAAACAGCTTGTGAGGCCTTGGAGTATTTCTTAAGGTGGGAACAATGAAAGCAGCCTGGGTGGGTGTGGTCAGGTCTCACAGACTGGGCTTTCTCGTTTTGCTTTAGTTTTTAGGTTCAGTTATTAGCAGAAACCTTTGGGGTCTCAAAAGAGTTGGAAGCTTCAGTGAATGTTTCACTTGATGCTTTTTCCCTCCTGGATTGGAGAACTGCATGTGAGAATCTGTGTCTGAATTTACCTTTTTGCCAAAGTGGGGGATTTATGGGATGTTACTGTATTTGAACAGTTAGTTAGTAATTTCTGTTATTTGGTTACGTTTTCCAATAGAGTTGTTATTCTAAATTCCTCCTTCTTGTGTTTGCGTTTTAACTATAATGTTTAAATAAATTGTATTAATATCGAGTAGTCTGACCAGTCACATTGCATCTGGAACACAGCACTTCACACCTACCTGTAAAATCAGAAAATGTTAGAGTCTAGGCTACCTTCTTAAAATATATTGAGGGGTGCTGGTCTGGTCCATAACACAATTTCAGATGGCAGTTACCCACATTGCTGTGAGACTGGAGTCACATGTAGGCCAGACCAGGGAAGAATGAGGGTTTCTTCAATGACAGGGCATCAGTGAGTCAGGTGGGTTTTACAACAAATGACAATGGATTGATAGTCACCATCTCAATCTTTATGAATTGAGTTTAAATTCCTCTAGCTGCCATGGTGGGAGTTAAACCCATGGCCCAGAGCCTAAGCCTGTCTCTCAGGATCACTAACGAAGTGACCTTATTACTAGGCCACTATTGCCCATCTGAGAGGGCAGGCACCATAAAACTATTAAAAACCGAAAGAACTGTGGATGCTGTACATCAGAAACATAAACAGAAGTTTCTGGAAAAGCTCAGCAGGTCTGGCAGCGTCTGTGAAGAGAAATCAGGCTAAACGTTCCGGGTCTGGTGACCCTTTCACCTAACCTGAAACATTACTCTGATTTCTCTTCACAGATGCTGCCAGACCTGCTGAGCTTTTCCAGAAACTTCTGTTTTCATTCCAAGGAGCCACTATTTCCTAAACCGTCCATTCAGAGGTGATTTACACACCTCTAGAGCAGGTGGGACTTGAACCCAGACCTCCTGGCTCAGAAGTGGGGACACTACCACTGTACCTTACCCAAAGAAGGTTCTCTGGAGATCTGAATTCGGATTGGCTGGCTTCAGAGTCCAGCTTGGTCACCACTGGCTCCCAGGTTAGGGCTGCTTTGTTGAGATTTGTTTTTGTCAAGTTGAAAGGCAAGTCAGTCCTAGAAGGATGGAAAAGGTTGAGGGGCTGAATGGCCTACTCATGCTGTTAGCTTGATGGAAGCCCAACAAATAACAAAATAAAACTCCACAATCCACTTCATTCACCTTTTACCTTCCAGTAGTGTCATGATTTGAATGGAGTTGTTGGCTGACCAATAGTAATGAATGTCAACAGGGTCTAAAACCGATCCATCCACCTCCCAGTGCTTGGGCGCTCTGGGGATTCTGGCTGTACCCATATCTCTGATAGTGAAGGTGTGGTTTCAGGTACAAAAATGGTGCCAATGGCAGGCTCCCTTTCCCGGTGCTAATTGGCTGAAGGGATTGGTGTAGATTTAGGAAGCTTGTTCCAAATGTGTGCGGAATAGGCAGAAGGCAATACCACCAACACTGACCTGAATGCTTTAGCCATACAGTCACAAAGCACAGAAACCGACCCTTCGGCCCAACTAGTCCATGCCGACCAGGTTCCCAAACTAAACTAGTCCCACCCGCCTGCGCTTGGCCCATATCCCTCCAAACCTTTCCTGTTCTTGTCCCTATCCAAATGTCTTTTAAACATTGCTACTGAACTCACATCCACCACTTCCTCAGGACGTTCATTCCATACACAAATGACTCATGTAAAAAAAGGTGCCCCTCATGTCCTTTGCAAATCTTTCTCCTCTCAGATTAAAAAATATGCCCCCTAGTTTTGAACTCACCCACTCTCGAGAAAGACATTTGTCATTCACTCTATCAATGCCTCTCATGATATTATAAACCTCAATAATGTCACCTCTTAACCTCCTATGCTCCAGTCTATTTCTATATCTCAAATCCTCCATTCCCAGCAACATCCTGTCAATATGCCCCCTCTCAGCCTTAGGTAACTGTGCTGGCATTCAGCAACAGGAGGGCTCTCTACAGTGTAACTTAAAAGGGATAGAAACTTAGGAACTGTGGCAGTGGAGGTCATTAGTCCCTTTGAGCCCACTCTGCTATTCAACATGATCATGGCTGATCCTCCATCTCAACACTATACTCCTGCTCTCTTCCCATACCACGTGACACCTCAGCCTCTAGAAATCATGCAGGCTATGGTGTAAAGCAGAAGGTAGGAGTGTACACTAGTGATGGGTTTGGTAGCTACCAGACAAAAGGGAGAGACATTGTGTGTAAATATCATATTGTACCAAGGAACCAAAGCAGTGCATGGTCATCCAATAATAGAGCAAACATAAAGGCTTTATATCTTAATGCATGACACATTCAGAATAATCACGGTACAGAAAAAAGCCATTCAGCCCATCAAGTCAGCACCGATGTTCTAAACAGCATCTCACCCAGAACCAGACCCAGCCATCTACCCCTATCCCCATTGCACTGCACCCCCCACTACTTCCCATGGCTAACCCACCTAGCCTGCACATCCCTGGACAGTATGGACAATTTAGCATGGCCAATCCAGCTAACCTGCACACCTTTGGACTGGGAAGACGAGTAAGGTAGATGAACTGATCACAGTAAATCAATACACTCTCATAGCCATTATGGAAACACGGTGACAATGAGGTCAAACCTGGGAAATTTACATTCAGCGAGATTTGATCTTTCAGAAAGACAGGAGGGATGGAATAGTTGGTGGGTAGCAGTGTTAACAAGAAATGAAATGAGGACAGTTGAGAGAGTTGATCTCGGATCAGATGATGTAGCATCCATTTGGCTGGAGGTAGAAAATGGCAAGGGAAAGAAGACATTGGTAGGAGTAGTGTACAGACCCTCAAACTCCAGTAGCCAGGCTGTGGGAAAGACTATGAACCAATAAATAATTGCAGCATGTAAAAAGAATAGAGCAATAATTATGGATGATTTTCATCTTCCTGTTGATTAGATTAATTGAATTGGAAAGGGTAGCTACTACAACAAATTCAAAGCTGTGTTAAGAGCCCACAGTGTTGGAGGTGGCATTTTGGCATGGATGGTGCATTAGCTAATGGACAAGAAACAGTGAGTGGGGATAAGGGTTTTTTTTTTTCAGGTTGGCAAACTGTCAGCAGTGGGGCTCCCCAGGGATCAGTGCTGGGACCGCAACTATTTACAATATATATCAACGACTTGGAGGAAGGAAGCTCGTGTCCTGTAACCAGATTTGCAGATGACACTAAAATAGGTGGGAAGGCAGGTTGTGGGAGGGATACAAACAGTTTACAGTGAGATATTGATAGGTTAAATAAGTAGACAAAAAGCTGGCAAATGGAGTACAATGTGGAAAAATGTGAAGTTGTTCATTTTGGAAGGGAGAACAAAAGAACAAAGTATTATTTAAAAGGAAATAAAAATCCTGCAGAAAGCAGCAACACAAAGGGACAGGGGGCACTTGTGAATGGAACATGGGTATAGCAGGTAATCAGGAAGGCTAATTATTAAGAGATAACAAGGTGTGGAGCTGGATGAACACAGCAGGCCAAGCAGC